TTTCCAAACCAGGGGATGTCACTAGTTGGCAGAGGTGGACGCAAAGTGTCAGTCTGTGACTGACACCCTGTAGTTTCTTACAAATGTGAAGTGAGCTCTGAAAACACTGATTTTGTTCATTCTGTCTTATTCTGGTTGGAGGCTAAATCTGTCAAATTTGGAAGTGTTGTTAGGTCTTAATGACTTACTCTAGATAACATTGAACATGCCCATTTGCCAGCATGTCTGCCTTCGTAAATGAAGTGCAGGATATCTCTCTGAATTTTGGGGGTTTGGGTTTTGGGGTTTTTTTTGGCTTTTAGATTTTTCTGATACATGGTGCAAACTCTTGCATTGGCTTTTGAGAGTGGGTTCCATCCAGATACTGCATTTTCTATCTGCCATATGAAGAGAAAAGTTTTTGTCTTTTTTCAAGCTTGTGTACTTAGTTGTGTTGGCAGAATCAGCTCGAGGGTGGAACCAGTGATTTCTTCCAGTATGACTAACCCTGATCTTTCTCCATAAACATTCCTTTAATTAAACTGATGCTAACTCATGATTCATTCCTTCTTTCCAAAAGAAAGATTTTGGTGGGGGGGTGGGGTGTGTGTGTTGTGGCCTTCTCATGGTATTTTTTGCTGCTTTGTGATAGACTACTTCTTTATTACAGGAACACTTACACAGAATGAGATGATATTTAAGCGCCTCCACCTAGGTACTGTGTCCTATGGAACAGATACAATGGATGAAATTCAGAGTCATATTATAAACTCTTATTCACAGGTATCTCATTTCATAAATATTTACATTTAATATTGAGGGGTTTTTTAGCAATATTGAAGTGTTGTTACTATGTCTAAAAATTTGAGATGCCATGAAAGTTCTTTCATTTGTAGGTATCTCTTAACAGATATGATGAAAGGGAAAAATGTGAGATAGTACATAGTTACCTTCTGATTCTTGTTCCTCATAATAGCCACTTAAGGGACTTTACTTTTCTATTGCCCACTAGCAGAAATCTGTGTTAACCTGTCTGTGCAGTGCAGTCTTTCTCCTGCCAAATCACCTAAGAGGCTCATTACTGAGCCTACATGTTACAAGTGTCCAGAACAAGATGAACAGTAATTGTATCTTTGAAGATATTCATCAAGAATAAACATCGAAAAGCCACATTAATTGGTATAACCAAAAAGTAAAAAAAAATAGTTGTCCAAATAAAATTTATAAAGACATACCTAAAAAGCGTTTTTAAAATTAAGATGATCACAAACAGCATAAAACTGGGCTGGGGCAAGGGACGGAATGGAAAACTCCTTATTGCCTGCGATATGAGTGCTTGGTCTCAAACGTTTACAAGAGGATTATGGTTCCCTGTCTGTGGGTTGGTTGTGGGATGAAGGGGAGGGGAGATGGAATTCTGCAAGAATCGCTTGCATCTTCCATGTATGTAAACTATTTGGGTGCTTTCTGCAAAGCTTTCTAAGCATCTGATTCCACTCTGAGATTAGGAAGGATTTTTTGTTACTATTCTTTGAAACAAAAAAGAAAAGAAATTGACAGAAGAGGAAATAAATTATAGTTTAACTAATATTTCCATATGTTGCATACAGTACAATAATAAAACTTTTATATAAAAGTTCTTTTCCATAGTTAACTTGGATACACAAACATGACTGGCTGACCCAGTTAAGTTTGTAGACTGGCCTCCTTATCTGTGTCCTCATTTTCTCTTGCAAAAGGATTGTAGGATCAACAATTGATTAGACTCTTTAGTTGTGTTGTATATTGAACTATGGCTCCCTTCTCATTTGCTTAAAAAAAAATGAAAATGTAGCTGTTTGACACCATGTTGGACTTGGTTAGTATTATGTAGCTTTTAGGAAGAGAGGCAGGAGGGAAAGCAGTGAATAAGCGATGTATGTTCTAAGTTTTCAGTCTGCAACTTCAATTTCTGTATTATTTCCCATCTAAATATGGGAACAACATAAAACAAATTCACTTCTTGAATTCCGTTTCCTTGGATAATCTACTTCAGCCTAATTCTTTGTAGATGTAGACATGAATAGTAATTGAGATGCAATAATATGCCTTGGAAGTGAGATACGGAGCTCTTTTACCTAAAGATCAGCAGTCCAAATTTGATTCAGAATGGGTTACTGAAGGTAATTGCTACCTGAATATGTTTATAAAAATCACCCAAACATAATTTTGGTATAATGGGTTGTTTGGGTATTCACTGTAACAACTGTAGCAATAAATAATATTAACTGACAGTCTCGAGCTCGCACACCTAGGTCTGGCTGAGTTTGATGACTAAGCACCAGTCTTCTAGAGGAGACATATTCATTAAGGCTGTTTTCGTATTTTGCGGTTAAATATGCTACCCGAATAGAATTGCATGATTCCTGGAATTCTTACTTGCTTAAAGCTTTTAGTAGTTTGCTGTAAAATTTAATGAGTGGTACCCATGGTTAATTAAGTTTTTAATAACTGTAACATATTTGCCGCTGAAATTTTTTAAAGAAGTAAGAAATGTGAGGGAAGCTTTTTTCTCAGTTGTGGGAAAAGATTTCCCAAATCTAGATTTGCTGTTAGTAGATGATGAAAAGAACTTTCTTGGAACTTCCTTTTTTTTTTTCAGCTTTATATAACACTATTTGATGTTTAAATAATGCTTTAATTATGCGTATGTTGGTAGCAACTCTTTAAAACAGAAAAATTAAGGAGTCTCAGTAACAAAACGGGCAACTGTTAAACAATTGTTTCAATCTGAAAAAGTATGGCGAGGTTTTTATTTGATCTATGATAATAGAAGCTGCCAGTTAGCTAGGCAGTGGTTCTTGTGTGACATTGATTTTATCCCTTGTTTGTGTTCTGGTTTATTATTACAGTGGACCTACTAGACTATTGTCATCTTAATGTAACACACAAATCTATTATAACCTGATTATATTTCCCCACTGGAAGCATTTTGTGATAGAGGGCATAATCTTTAATGGAATTTGTGTGAAATTAAATTATACAAGCATCAATAAACATAACATAATTCAGAAGGAGTAAATCAGCTTAATTTATTTGCGGCTGTAATGGCATCAGCGTTAGCAGAATGCAAATGCAGAGGTTTAAAGCAGTAGCTGAAAAGCAGTGCCAGATGAGCAGAAAGTTAAACCCTTTATTAGACAGCACTGTAATTTGATGGGCAGAATGTTCACGGTTCAGCCGATTGCAGTCAGGAGGAAAAAAGCATGGTTTCTGAAGAGGTTTTCTGAGTTACCCTGGAGTGAACAGAAGAGCCTTTGGTAGTACTGCTGATACATTTAATGTGCTGGCTTTAAAAAAACAAACATAAAAAAATCCCCAAACCCCAATAAAACCCATGCAAAAAAAACCCCAAACCCACTTATTTTCAACTAGTTATAAATATATGGTACTTTCTCTTACAAGATTCAGTCATGTGCTTGAGCATTTCTGAAGGATAACTTAAAATAGTGCTAATTTGGTGGTTATGCAGCAGTAATGTGATCTTCAAATATGTGTTTAACTATTATTTTGCATTATTTTATTAGATTATTGCGTTCTTGCAAGGACAAATTTCAGCCTGCAGCAAAAGCATACAAACTGCGTTAGTTTACAAATAATGTAGAAATAGTGTAGGTTGTAAATTAAATCATCAAAATTTGTATTTTAATGACTCCTAATATTTATACTTAGCAATTATACTTGCTTTTGTTCTTTTGTTCCCTACCAATGTGATGGTCTTTACCTAAATCTCTGTATTTTAAAGATTTAAAAGAAAAGTTGGTGGGGTTTTTTTTTCCCATTTAATGGCATTGGAGTTTCCAATCTCTGAATGTGCACAGGTGACAAAAATTCCACCCTTGCAATTTTGTTTGGATGTTTCTGAACTCATCCAGTTGGTTGCTGGCTTAAATACTTTTTAAAAAACAAGTCATAGTAAGTAAAGGACATTAAAGGACTACTGTGACTGATCACTGAAAAAGGTAAATTCTGAAAAGAGGAAGCAGGGTTTTCTGCAGAATCCAGTCAGCCTATTCACCCCTTTTGCTGCATATTTGTTTTCATTTCACATGGCAGGCAGGTTAGAACTAGATGATCTTTAAGGTCCCTTCCAACCCAAACCATTCTGTGATTCTATGATTTTTCAATTGTCTGCAGGCTGTTTTACTGAAATCTGACAACAAATTTAAAATCCCACAGTTATGTATCAGTTCTACAGAAAAGTAGATGAGAGATTTTATGAATCACAAACTGACTGAGTTGACAGTAGGTTATGTAAAATAAATAAATGGTTACTATCCTTACCAACCTTCATAAAGGGAACAATCGGACATATATATTAGTATTCATGTTTTGCTGCCGTTATTGAACTTTGGTTTACTATTCATTGTGTTGGGTCTTTAAAGGCACACTCTCAGAATAGTGGAAACAGTACCAGTTCAACACCATCTAGGAAGCCTCAGTCGTCTGCACCCAAAGTCCGCAAGAGCGTCAGCAGTCGGATACATGAAGCGGTGAAGGCCATTGCACTGTGTCACAATGTGACCCCAGTATATGAATCCCGGGCTGGTGTGTCTGGAGAAACAGAATATGCAGAGGTGGATCAGGACTTCAGCGATGAAAATCGAACTTACCAGGCTTCCAGCCCTGATGAGGTTAGTATGCAAGGGTGAAAAAATTAGTATCTCATAAAGAACAGGATAAGCCAAGTTTAAAAGAGCAGAACTGTGAAAGAAAAGTGTTTTGGGCTGGGGTTTCTTTAAAATTAGCAGTAATCTGGTTTTATTTCCTCTACAGCTGTAGGAAAGATCTGGTGTTTTTGTTACATAAAAGTGTTTTCAATTATTTGACTAAAAGGTCTGTGAAGTCAGTACTTTGGGATCAATACTGTGTTGAGTATTGCAATTAAAGTTATGTGTATTCTCAAAACATTAGTCTATCTATGATTCATAACATATACATGCAAAAAGGAATATGAAACTGCTTTGAGTGATGGATAACCATGTACATGAGCTAGAGACACTACCAGTTAGTGTAATGTATAGATACTTAACAGGGGAAAAAACCCCAAACCTCAGATACTCCTGTAGAAAAGCTTTTGAGCTTCAAACCCCACGCAGTTTCATAATCTTCAGGGTTCAGTCAAAATTGCATTAAGTGTAGCACGAATTTAAAACCCCATTTCAATAAAAAACATGCATTTGACTTCCATTGAAATCCGAATTTTAAACAAATCCCACAGCTTTCAGTGGATTTGAGTTATTGTTCTGAATAATCCTGTTTTGGGCCTGATTGCCTCAAATTCAATCTAAAACGATGCTAGAAGAGAAAGGCAAAGCTGAAGTTTTTGCCCATTCACTTTATAAAACCGTGTATGTAGTTGATACAGTAAAATAAAAAGAGTATTTTGAGGCTGGTTTGCCTGTGAAAGGGAGCAGGTTGAGGGGCCACTTTGCTTTAAAGAAATTCTAGTGGTATCTGAAGATTGGATGTACTGTTGGTGGTGTAGCCACTGTAGCTTAGTCATAATCAAACGAAGGTTGTTGCAAGATGTGAAGAAGGGAGTGTGTATCTGAAAGGCTGTTTATTTTTCTAGCTATACAAGTTGATCTAATACAAGATAATATTTCTTCCACAAACCTCATCTTGCCACAGCATAGCCTATTATTCTTGGTATACGTTTGGTTTACATGCCTAATATATCACCATATGTAATACTAACAAAACTTCAGCAATTCAAACTGCAAGCTGTAATTGCTAAAAGTAACAAGTCTATAACAAGTATTTTTAGGAATGCAAGAAATAAAATTAAGTCTGTCTTCATGTCGTACTGAACTAGCAGGCATTACATGCATTTCAGATGCTATAAACACAGTTCATCGTGTCAAAGGATTGTAGAATATAAAGAAGTGGCTGGTTCTCAGTGATTAAAATGTGGCAGAACATTTGTAAAAATAAAACTCTAGGCAGGACTTGAGATGCTGCTCTTTGGCTAAGATCAAAAATCCATAATACTATATGTGGTGTTTTATAGTGTGGGTTGATCTGCATTATGAATTGAGAATGCTGGAAGTGCATTTGTTTATGCCAGAGGTACACTGTAAATATAGTTTGTTAGTGTAGTTGTACAATGTTTGACTTTTATTATGAACATGTGTACAAATTTTCATATGCACATATATTCGCTAAATAGATCAGTGTAATGAGCCTGTGAGATGTTACTAAATATAATGAAAAACGGCATGAGCAAGTGTCTGCCTGTGCAGCTATGGATGAAGTAAACATTCTGCTTTAACAGCCAAAGGTTTTACTAAGGCGGGTGGAGAGATGTGCAATTGAGAGAGGCTACGTGAGTTTTTTCTCCTACTTGCTCTTCTCTGCCTGTGGGCTTCTGTATATTCATTCAGTTGTTTGGAACCTGAAAATATTACCATAAAGAGCAATTCTCCTCCCATATTTGCTAAAGGAAACAGCTGTAAGACTTGAGCATTATGCAGGTAGTGCCCTGGAAAAACAGCACAGAATTTGACCTTGGAAAGAGGAAGGAAAATTTGATAAAGTGCTAATGTGACAGATCTGGGATTCAGGGTGGAAAGGGAAGTAGAAAAGGAAACGGGCAACAAAGAAACTGTTAGTGCTGAAGTGGAAGAGAAAGCCCAGGTATCCTTTTAATAATGATTTTTTTTTTTAAATCATCTTGACTCATACATTCAACCTATATGACAGTGAAATGAAAAGCTTACATTTTTAGAACAGCCAGTATTAAATTTCCTTTTTGTTTCTCAAAGGTAATGCTTGAAACACTAGTAAAATTATCATATCGAACAAATATGCCTTAGTATAACGAGAAATTGATGCTAAATGGAGTCTTATAAAAAGATGAAGCTACAAAAAACATATTAACAGCATAAAAATTGCAGCATGACAGCAAAAAGCCTAAGAGTTGAAAGACTAGCAGGTCTTTATCATAATTTTTTAAAGAGTTCTATTGATGCAATGTTTGCAAATCACTGGAGCCTAAGGAAAATAATGTAAATGGTTCATTATTTAGCTTATTGAACTTTCCTGCAGTTAGGTTGACGGATGATGCCAATGTTTCCCAATCACCAAAGTACCATTTTAAAACCATTTTTTATTGAATAAAGTGCTTGGAATATTGCACCCTGGAGCTTTATTTAGGGAAATGGTTCAATTGATGTTTTCTGTTTAACCTCAGCACTGACCTATCACAACATATTTGGTTAATAAGCAACATTATCATTTAATAGACTTAACCAGTTTTATGCATTGTACTTTCTCAACATTACAACTCTGTTCTCTTAGATTTTGTTTATGGATCTGGCTTGATTGCGGTCTTTTGAAAAAAGAGGTTATTTCCACAGTTGTCTGTTGCGTTATATAATATTGGTGGTATCACTGTAGCATATAAAGAGCAGAGAACAATGTGTAAGTATAAACTATTCTTCCATGTAGGAAAGTATAAAAAGCAGTTTAGTAATACGTTGATACGCTACACTTAATGAATTGACTTGAGGAATTCATTTGAAATTCTTCACATCTGTGTGTGTATGCATGCATCCATACACAGAGAAAATATAACAATAACAAAGTATGCACATTTAGAAGTAGCTACATTCATCATAAAAGATGTATTTATCTATTGTTAGAGTAACCTGAGATAAGTAACTGATTTTGTATTCATAATGTGAACCCTACTTATGCCAGGCTCTTTGTTTCTTATGATAAGTGATCAATATTTCATTTTCTCTGAAAGAGTGGAAAGTTTCATTTGTCTGTCACTTGTCCTCTACAGCTGTAGCATAGCAAACAATAAACATTCACTGAGAATTCACTGAAAAAAATGAAAAGGACCCCTACTTGGCCATCATAGCTGTGGGTTCAGCTCATCTGTAGAAAGCCAGCTACATTAATGTAATGAACAATCATAAAAGGATATAAGCTAAGTAGGTAAAGCAGTGGAGTTCAAAGGTCACAGACCCAAGCAATTCAGGGGCATGCTATGAACAGGAGCCTTTGAAGACCTTTGCTCCCCTTGGTCAGAAAAGATTGATCAGTCACAATTTTTAATGACTGCTTACTCTCATAAACCAGCTATTTATTGGTTATGCTTTGTCCTGCACTGTTATATTCTCAAGCATTTCTGATTCCAGGATTTTGAATATTTAAATACTACCTTAAAGTGTGGTCAGTTATTTAATTCCGACGTTTCTGTCCAGAGACAACAGAGTTGCTAAAATTAATTACAAGGATATAAAGCCAATCATTTAAAAACAGACAGGGAAATGATATGCCCTTAGTGAAGCAGCTTTTGTGTTTACAAAAGTGAAGCTGTAATGTATGAGACATGTTGTATTGTTTAATTCATTTTATTGTGTGTGCTTATTGAAGCAAGACTAATTGTGTTGTTTTGTCAATGTATTGTGAAAAGCAAATCACTCAGTAGCATAAAACCATCACTTTCATGACCTTCGAGACCCGCAAAGAATAACTACTCCATAGCTTGTCTTGAATATTGATCGACAGTTTTTTCACATGATCAAGCTGTACTTTTAAGTTAATAATTTTATTTTAATTATGAAGCTTCTTGGTGAAAAGTGATGGACTGCAAATGTTAGTTATCAAATCATTATTTATAAATATAAACAAACCAGTGCTGATTGGAAACACATGTGAGTTGTTGTTGAACAACCCAAACAGAAACTGTTGGGAACACTCAAGCAGTAGGAAAAAGAAATCTCACTGCTTCTTCCTTGTTTCCAAACCAATAACCTTAACTTCAAAACACCACATGTATAACCTCCATATGCCTTACACGGCAACCTGATTTTGAAACCAGATCCTATTGTCTGAAGTAAAGATGCTCTTAAATACTCTGAAATAAATGAAGGTTGGTTGCCTGAGAATTACTCTAAGCAGAAAAACTAGCTTACAGAATTTCCATCCCTAGTCCTTCTTTCTCACCCTACAAATTTCTTCCTTGTATATGCCAAAACCTTTGAAGCCTTCTTTATATGGGTCATTTTTCAGTTTGTGGTGAAGTTCATAGCGTGGCTCCAGAAAAGCTGTCAGCACAACTGAGGGGGACCTCCCAAACTGCTGGATGGGGTGGAGAAGAACTGCCAACACCAGCCGCGAGGCAGTGGATCTTTTTCTTAACTGTCGTCAGCTCAAAAGGGAATATTGTGTGTTGAAAGTGGCAATTAGTTGGCCATAGACTGTTTTGAGCAACACTTTGTAAATATGGAGCAGTTAGATATTTCTACAGGGAGCAGCAACGGCAGACTGGCCTGCAAGGAAAGGGGAGCCAGGAGCTGAGCATGATAGTCAGGCTGCTAGAGGCAGTGGGCTCAGTGATGAGGTGTACAGCCTTACAGTATCCAAGGAAGGTGAAAAGAGAATGTCTCATGATGGAAACCAGAGGCAGTCAAGAATATAGATTGTTGTACTATCTGTGATGATGAGGCACATCTGAATTCAAGCCAGGAAGTCAAATCATTAAGTCAGGATCAGGTCCCAAGACAGTAACGAGTATTAGCCACAGTCTGGTGATCGCAAGAAAAGTTCATGGCAGTGAGGCAGGTCCAAAGTCAGGAGGTCATGTCTGCCTGTTGGGGCTAGGTCAGCAGGGTACGTGGCCAAGTGTGGGCACAACTGCAACATGGCTCCAACGTAGGTCTCACAGGACCGAGTGTGAGAGCCAAGTGAAAGGGGGAAGGCAGCCTCCATGGAGGCTTCTTTGAGCTGTTTCTTCATCACAGCTCTTAACAGTGAGCTGGCCTTGAACGCAGCTGGTTAAATTCCTAGGAAGGAGTGTGCACTCAGGGTCTTGACAGCTTCAGTCTAAATAGGGTTTTGAATATTTTTTCATGGAAATACATTGCTATTCTGTCTTGGTTGATAAAAGGTTATGTTTTGAGTCAAGTAAGTATCCAATCTCTCTTTCAGTTTACCCAAACTAAGAGTAGGGTGAGTTGTTGGGGTTTTGTCACTTTTGCTTTCTTTCTCAAATATTTTATTATTAAAACCAAAATTAGTGGATTAGGTTCCTAAGACCAGCTTAGTTCCAAACAGCCCAGAATTCAAAGGGAGTGGTAGTAGTATGATGGTTTGTATATTCCTGTCCTGATTGACGTAGTATCTAAAGCAAACAAGAACAGCCTTAGGGCATTTTATTTGGTCTTCTGCCAAGCAGTAACAGCCTTTTAGGATTGATCCAGCAACTGAATGTCTTCAGAATTCAGCAGGGTGCTTCAAATACCTCACTTTGTGGATTTATAACTGTGTGCCCAAAGGCAAGGATAGTTTCATTTTTTCAAGTGACCATATCAGCTCTTCTTTAACTGGGACTTCTTCATGCCATCATGCTCTCAAGATGACAAGTGACTAGAGGTAGTTAACATTTTCCACAGAGCAAGGGGACTCAATGTTGCAGTTCCCCAAACTGAAAACTCATAAGACAGCTGGGTGATAAGTGATGTTTCTTGTTGGTCCAGAGGAAGCTAAGGAAGATGTGAATCTGAGAGGGAATGAGAGTGCCTTTCCTTGTGTAAATTATTCACCCTCACAGGGAAAGGTTAGGAGAATTCAGAGATGAGCTTTGCGTTGGGCTGTGTAAGGAACAGTCTTGCACATACTGATTGAATGGCCTAAAGCCATCCAACACCACTCCAGAGAGAAGCAAACTCCTGTTATTTGGTAGAGCAGGGAGGTACTTACCTCTTTCATCCTCAGAGTTGAAAGTAAATAAAGATATGGCTGTTCCTTTAAATGCTTTCTATTGACAATCTGTTTCAGTTTATATGCCAGCCTTAATTTTGACTGTTGACTTGTGTACTTAGATATTTGTAGCATTTTCTGCCACATAATTATTTTCATCAGGGTTGTTAAATGGGACTCATAGGCTAATAGAATGAATTGTAGAAGAGATTTTTTTCTTTAAAAAAAAATTAAAAAATATGTTGGCACCATAGTTGGAAAAAAAACATTTAGAATGTCATTGGTTTAAGAGAAAATGTAAATATACTAAGCTTTTTGTGGCCTATCAGTTTATATGTTTTCTAAAGTTTTTTGAAATTGTTTATTAGTATTTATTTTAGGTTAAAATCAGTCTAATGTTCTAATTAAATAGGCAGTTCTGAATCCACAACAGGAATAATGGGTTTGTGGTTGGTTTTGTGCTTGACAGGGGGCTTATGAAGCCCTTAACTGTTCATTTTCGTGACTCTAAAAGGCTTTGGTTTTATGACTGATAAAATAGGTAACTGCATCATCGTCACTTAACCTTGTGTGCTTTATGGAGCTTTCTAGAAACTACCTAAGATATTTATAAGCTGCTTGTTTCGATTTAGTTATGAAAATGAACATTTCTAAATAAATGGGATGACTATGTCCCCAAAATGTGGAATTAGTATGCGGGCCTACCGTGGTCTGTAGCAACAATGCTTCTGAAGTTTCTCCTCTTCGTGCCCCTCTCAGGATGCACACGCTCTACAGGCAGCTGAGCTAGAGACACTGTCCTGCTTGGAGACGCTACTTCTACCTCCTGAGTTGGTGCTGCTGTGGGTTATGTCGTGGGTCGTGCAGTTACTGCTTGAGTTGAGAGAGTTTACTTATGAAGTCTCTGCATTTGACTTCGAATGGAAATCTCTGCTGAGGTCATTGAAGTGTTTGATATTTGGGGCTGTGAACTCTGGAAGCTCTGAGGGTCAGGTGGCCTCTAGTGGAGAGAAACTGCTGACAGAGAGAGGCAACCAGAGCTAACAGTGGGCATGTGGTAAATACAAACGTGGAAGATTTTGGGGAAGAAACACTAAACGAGGTGTTTCTCAATAGCTTTTGTCAGATCTGTTGCATTTCCATTTCACAATGCAAGTATTTGCTATCTTCATTCCTAATTTGGAAGTTGCTACTTTGACCTTGTCATGCATGAGGTGATAGCTGTCTTTACCCTTTGGATTGCCACTGAGGAGGAAGACAATTAGCAAGTTAGAAACCACAGCAGCTCACTTTGACTCCACCTACTTTACCTATCCTGGGAACACTACACAGTTCATGGGTTCAGGTGCACACTCATGTCTCAGGAGTGGGAGGACCCTATGTCTACCAATGTACTTCTGTCTCCTGGGCAGACAGTTGCCATAGAAGGGAAGCTTGGTGATAAGCCAGACGAGATCCACAAAATATTCAAATAAGTCCCTAACCTGGATTCAGGAAACTTGACACATTTCATCTAGGGGTGTTAGGAAATTAATGATTATTGGCAAATAAATATTATTACTAGAATGAATTTTTTTTTTAAAAACCAAAATGGTAGCATCACCAGCAAAGACTTTTGTGCTTGTCCAACCTTTGATTGCTTTATCTGACTCCATCCAATATGTCAAGCTCTGTAGAAGCCACAGCTGCTGTGTTTACCTGGCATTCTAGGGGTTCTTGATGTATGCACACTATATTGCAAGACCATTTTAATGTATGGTTGCAGAACTTTATTGAAAAGAGAATATATTTGTAGAGGAGAAACCTCAAGAAGAGAAACTTACCTGAAAATCCTTTTACTGAACTCTGTATAGCCAACCATTCAGTATATATTTATTTGTTAGATTTATAATTTAGATTTTCATGCTATTTGTGAAATACTTTTTAAAAAAAAATAATTGTATATTCTGAAACTTCAGATATTTAATGGTAAGGTCTGATTATGTTGCTCTGGATACTGCTAAGGTCTAGCTGCTCTGATTCATTCTGAATGACGAGGCAAACTTAATATCTTGCTCTCGAGTTTAGTCAGCTGCCTTTTAAGCATCTATTTGACTCTTGAGCCTTATTGACTATTTCTGCTATGGTATTTGTACTGATCAATTTAAAAGAAAAAAATATATATGCAGTTGAGTGTAGGCCAGGTATAAGAATCCAAAATGACTGCTGCAAAATGCTAATTCAAATGGTAGGTGAAGCCAAGCATAAACGAAATAATAAACAGATGTGAGTCACCAAATATAGAACACTTAAGTCCTAGCTGCAAAGGGACACAAATGAGATGATAGGGTATTAGTAGAAAGATGCAATTTACAGGTCAGAATGTAATAGTAACCTTTCACTGTGAAAATTGAAAATTAACCTTGGGAGCATTGGATCATTTACAGCTTATATGGTACTTTTATTGAAGAAGAAAAATCGCTAAAGAGACTTCCTGTGATTTTCGAGGTTTTAAAATGATGCTTTTCAAAATGTGTTCTTTTCTCTTCTGTAACTCCATCTCGCTGTGTTTTTATTTGGTGATGCCTACACAGATGGCACTACACAAATTTTTTTTCCAATTTTAAATTTTCATAGAAGCTACAGTGATTTACTAGCTTTGAGTGAAATTCTTAGTATTAGCTACCACATCTGTTGAACTTATCTAAGGATTTTACTACTTGCATGTCTTGTATCAGACTGCTTGATTTTTATTTTTTTTTATCTTACCTGAGGTTAATAGCAGAGGCAAGTTCCATAAAAATAATGTGAATTTCATTATAATTACTTGTCCAGTAATTTAAAAATCTGTTTTCCGATAATGATTAGCATGTGGAAAAATAAAAATAGAATTGAGACAGATAATTCTTTCTTTTCTTATCAGAAACTTCCCATTCATATATGGAATATGGCTTGTATATAAACTAACAGTAAAGCACTTTTCCTTAAGTATTAATTTTTTGAAGGAATAAACCATGCAGTGGTGGTGATAGAAAAATATCTAGTGTGTTATTTAAAGCATAACATAGAAGAAAATAGAAGCTAGATGTCATTCACTTTAAAGCAGCAAATTTTTTTTAAAAAAGCAAATCTCTAATGCACGCATTTAAGGTGCCATGTAGTAGTAGCTAATAGTGATTATTGTATAATGCAGCACTTCTGGGTTTGTGAAAGGGACTTTCACAAGCGTGTTTGTGGGACGCAGTATTGTAACCTTGGTTTCCCTCTCATTTGATATTACTGTTGAAACAAAAGTAATAAAATGATGCAAGTGAACAAAGCAAGCTAAAAATAAGCTAAAAATAAGATCCTTTGCTTATCTATTTACTACATATTACAGTGTCTCAACTTGCATGTAGTTATAGATCTAATAAATTGTTTTATATGGAAATACTGCCAAAATATTTTACTTACATAGCGGTGTCATTGGTACAGAAATTGTATTCTGGTTTTGCATAATTTCTACTGGATGTTCTTTAAGTATCATTGAGTATTATATCTGGGTTTCTTTTAATCAGAACTGTTACTTCTGAGCAATATATTCTAAATAGCTTATTTGCAGGAATAAGTTCAAATAAGTTTTTATATTCTTCATAAGAATTTTTGTAAGCTTTCTGAAGGAAAATACTGACTTGATGTGTTAAGATTTTGTACTCAGTCTAGTGCTATTCACATTTTTTTCCCCTAGATTCTTGGAAGAGTTTAGACTTTTACCCTAGCAACAGTTGTTTGGCTTTAGTGTAATTTATATAACAGTATAATAAACCTTTCACACTTAAACATGTCTTCTCTTTTCTTGTTCTTTCTTTAGGTGGCTCTGGTGCAGTGGACAGAGAGTGTCGGTCTCACTCTGGTTAACAGGGATTTGACCTCAATGCAGCTGAAGACCCCTGGTGGACACATTCTGACGTACTATATTCTGCAGATCTTTCCCTTCACTTCTGAGAGCAAGCGCATGGGGATCATAGTTAGGGTAATTTTGGGAGTGTTCTGGGTGTTGGTTTTTACTTCTCAAAAAAGGTTTTTACTGAACTTTTATTTTTATAAAATTTGATGCCAACTTGATCCTTCAGGGAATGCATTTCACAAGAGTTTTTTAAATGGAAAGTATACCTTTGACACAGGTACACATGAAATACCAGGCAAACAATTGTAGAAAAATCAGGCTAACTTGATGTTGCAGAGAGCTTCATAAAGGACCAACTCTTCTCTGTTGTGGGAATGCTTAGCCTCTGATGTTGCAAGTTGCCTTTAAGCCTTTGTTTTTAATTTTCCATTTGTTTCTTTCATACAAAATATGTTGCCTGTTCAAGGGATAAATTAACAGCTGAAATTTCTTACAATAGTAGTTAACGTCTTTCTATACTACTAGTGCTGCTGCTTTTCCAGAGTCAGTATTGATACCTGAACTGACATGCATACACAGCACAATCCACAGGCTCTAAGATTTATGAGATAATTGCTTAGTTGTCTCCTGGATGCCCAGTTGGGAGCATAGTAATGATCATTAAAACCTCAGATGAAAGGAAGCCACAGCACCATGCTAAAAGTAAGGTTTAAACCTCCGTGAATGATAAGCCATCCATGCTACGTAACTTCTCCCTACCCAAAATCAGACACTGTAGCAGAACAGCTTCAGACAACGTTGTTAGATGGTTAGATCAGTGCTGTGTCCCAGCTAAACAGGTGTCAAACTCATCCCATTTTTTATTTGCCTGTGATGTCAAGCCAGGCATGCCATCAGCCTTAGGCAAGGATACTTCAAGCAGAATGTGTGCATTCTCAAGTCTGGAGAGACCTTGGCAAGTCTGTATTTCATTAGGTAAGGTTGGCACTAAGAGCCTGTTTAACAGTGACATGTTCAGGGATTTCTAAGCAGCTTGCAGATCAGACTAATCCATTCCTTCTGTGAAAGACCATACCTCAGAAACTCCTGATTTGGATTATATTTGCCTGCACGTGAATTCTGTGAATAAGCAATGAATATTTTAGCATTAAAACATCTGTAACAAGTATTTACACTGTTACTTGTAAATTTTTAATTACTTAGGTATTTCAAAGATACAGAGCAAATTTTCTGTTGTGGGTTAGATAGTATATGCCACCAAAGAAACAAAATAGTTGTTAGAGGGGGCATAACAGTGATATTTTAAAATTTAAATGGGCAGTTTAGGGATGCTGAGAAATCTGTTACTCATATTAACGTCAGTTAGAACTGATCCTCTTATATGAGAAAGCAGGCAATATGGATCTCGATGGAATCGAGAGGCAGTAGTAACATCAAGTCATAAAACTTACCCACCTGTTGGCAAGGTACTCTATCTTTTATAAATGACAATCCACTGACTAATTCAAAAGACAGTTAGATTATTGGTAGGTAATTGTTTTGACTGTATAAATAGATCTGGTTTTTTTCCCTCTTTCTTTTGTAAAATTTTAGGATGAATCTTCAGGAGAAATAACATTTTACATGAAGGGTGCAGATGTTGCAATGTCCACTATTGTACAGTACAATGATTGGTTAGAAGAAGAGGTAAGAAACAAAATCAAAATCTATAAAAATTAAAATTTTGTAAAAACTAAACTTTTAAAATCAAAATATCAGCTATTATTGGAATAGGTTTAAAGGAAATCCTGAGCCAATGCAGTAATGGGTTTTGAAGTTCAGTTACATATGTCCTGAATGGGTTTTAAGGGATTAGAATTATTTCCAAATCTTGAATAACCCACAGGAAAAGCAAAGCTGGTAGTCATAGCAGAACATGTTCCTACTTAAAACAAGGAAATTTGTTTTTCATTGACTGACCTTTCACATAAAACCTAATTACTTCTGAGAGTATTCTGCTATAAACCTATTTTTCCTGAAATGCCCTTGTTTTATCAGATTCCACAGTGAAGTATGATTATGAATTACAAAGCTTAATAAGGGTTACAGCCAAATTGAAATCGTTTTTGCCACACTTATTAAACTTAATATAAAATAGCTGACTGAATTTCAAAACTGATAAATATTTTTCACTGTGTGGCTCTAGTAGGTACCAGCAATGATCTTATTTTGACCCTACATACAGACAATATGTTAATACAATGATTACACCATGTATGTTCATAATGGTATTGGCAATATGAATCAATATCTGCTGCAGGGCAGTTTGATTTATTTGGGGACATGAATAAATTAAACTCCCTCAAGACCTAGCAAAATGTCATAAAAATTACTTTTGGCGATAATGATGCACAATTAATTGTAAAATACTTGTTTAATTTATTTAGCTTTATGAGGTCAGATCAATAAGTGTTTTGCACTGGACAGCCTTGTTTTTCATTAAGACATGCTATTCCATGGCTATTTTTAATGTGTAGATATTTTTCTGAAAAGAGGTGTGTTCAGTGGAAAAAGAAAATGTATCTCTGTTATATGCCTCAAAAATATTTTTAATTTGTTTTAAAGCTTCAGCATAAAAGACATATCCTTTAAGCTAGGAGAGAAAATTTAGCTGGCTTACCAATAGCATACCAGGTCATTTGGGGGACTTGAAGTATAATTGCTTTTTTATTCTGCTTGTGGCTTCTCCAAAATAATCTAAGAGTCTAAAGAAACACCAGAAGTTATGGTACAGATATCCTCTATTAGCATATAGTATAAAATGTGTACATATGGTTGAATATTTGCAAAACTGTTCTGTGGTTTGGTCCATTTAGTGTGGAAATATGGCACGAGAAGGACTGCGTACACTGGTTGTTGCCAAAAAATCACTGACTGAAGAACAGTATCAAGATTTTGAGGTATGAAGGGACAAGAGTGATCTTGTGCTTCGCTATAGGTACTTCAAGGGGAACGTTTCTCTTTTTTATTCTATTAAAGTGGCAAAAAAAGATAATTCATATTTAAAATGTCAATAGTTGAGGTATGGCACACAGTCTATTAGAGATTTTGTCGTTTGTTAGTGATCTGCAGTCACGCATAGGATATACTGTTTTGCTTTATTATGTGGCTTGACAGTGTTTTCCCAGAAGCTAGCATAATGTTAATTCTGTAGCTTCAGCGTGACCTAAAAAAATCTACTTGTTCTCAAAGATAAGGGCAGTTCCTGCTTAGATGCTGTGATGCCTAATTCTTAATAGTTCTTAAGAAGGCATTGTCTTGACGTGATTTGTCAGAAAACACATGTATAACATTGGGTGTAAAGTAAAATTCGCTCTTTTGATCTGGTTATTCATTAAAGATATTTGAAGACAAACATTTAGCCTTATGAATCCATATTATAAGACTGAATGTGCAGTTTATGAATCATAGCAAACTCTAAGTGGTTTTGTGTTTGTACAAACAGAATCGATACAATCAAGCAAAGTTAAGTATACATGATAGAAACCTGAAGGTTGCTGCTGTTGTAGAGAGTTTGGAGCGAGAAATGGAATTGCTGTGTCTCACTGGAGTAGAAGATCAGCTGCAGGCAGATGTTAGACCAACTCTAGAGATGCTAAGAAATGCTGGAATAAAGGTAATAAACATGTACTGGTGACATAACAGGATATAATTTATTATCTTTTTTTAATAAAACATGAATTATATTTGTCTATATTCAGGTTCATTCAAAGTAAGAAATATGCCAAGTCCTTAGCACATTCTGGGCATGAGCCAGCAGAAACAAACAGGACATTGTAAAGTTCCCTTGTCCACCACAAGTTTCATTGATCTTAACCTTACTTCTGTAGGAAAACTACCACTGGATAAATGTATGTGACTCCCAGTCACTTATCCCCTGCCTGTCTACAGTAAACTGTCCTAGCTGACACTGAATGAGTTTGGCACAAGATTCATATGATAACAGTGTTTTCAGGCTTGGCAATCATGAGAAGTCTCAGCAAAGATCAAAAGGTGAATTGTTTGAACTAGAATTCAGAACTGCCGTTGGAGTTTGTTCATGTCATGTTAAAGAGACGGTGTCAAAAGCTTTGCACAAGAGTTTGTGCTGTGTTTTGTTCATAGGCAGGCTATGCTAGACAGCAATCAATTGCATGTTTAGAAGTAATACATTTTTTTTTTTTGAGAGAGTGTTTGAAGTAAAGATATGAGCAGTATCTGAGGGGAGTGGGCAAGATTATACGCATTTTGCTTGAAGCAGAGTGTCAAACTCCGAACTGAAAAGTTGGGTTGACTTTGCATTGGTTAAATTGAATCAGATACAATGTTGGTTTTAGCCTGAGAAGGAGGGTAAGTTATTTTGATTTCCAACAAGCATGGGAAATCTCCCTTTATGTGAGAGGAGCGGGAATGCGTGGAGCTCTGCCTTGGGACAAATGATGAGCCAGTTGAGAATTTATGGGTGAGAATTAGTGGGCAGACCAATGTGGACAAAATTATGGTAAGTATCTGCTACAGACTGCCTGATCAAGAAATAGAAGAAGAGGCCTTCTTCAGACAACTGGAAAAAGCCTCACATTTGGACATGCTGGTCCTTGTACTGGACTTTAACCCCTCTGATATCTCCTGGAATGGCAACACCAAGAGGGCACAAGCAAACCATGAGAATTTTGGAATGTAATGACAATAATTTCCTGACACAGATGATTGAGGCAAGAGAGAGCTGTGTCACTCTAAGAACAGATGGATCCTCAACCTTATTCCTTAAACTTTAATGCCTTCATCCCAGTTCTGCGTGATTGGTGGGCAGCATCTCTTTGGAGCATTGGGACTGTAGCTCTTTCTCCAGGATATGCTGTCTCATTGCTTGGCTGCTGCTCTCTGATAGATTCTCCCTAGGGTCACGGACTGTTGTGTCACATCATTTTGCTGACAAATGTTCTCTCTCTTGTAGTTGTCTGCATCCTCACTCTTTCGATCAAGGTAGTATCAGAGCCATAGGGAAAGGCTTTTATGCTTTCCCAGCTGTTCAGCTATGCCAGTGGGTTTCCCCAGAGTTTCACCTTGTCTTCATGTAAACTGAGATGTTGGCCCTTGTGAGAAGGGAAGGGGAATGAAGCTGCCTGAAGTAAAGACAGTTCTTCTCTGTTTTGTGTGTTGTTGCAGTAAAAACTGCTCATGAATTTTAGTTAGAAATGCACGTATCAGTATATTTTTTCTGGTCATGTAATCCCAAAAGGTACTAGAAAAAGGTTGGAGAGAGATGTCACTTAGATTTGGAGAACAGACACATTAATGTCCAATGGAGTAAACTTCTATGTTATTTTGCAGATATGGATGTTAACAGGAGATAAACTGGAGACAGCAACCTGCATCGCAAAAAGTTCTCACTTAGTGTCTAGAACTCAAGATATTCACGTTTTCAGACCTGTAAGTATAGTTCCAACTTTTTTGTTGGTTCATCAAAGGACAGCTAATAACAATGTTGCTTTATTTGATTAGTAGTTGGCTGCTTATTGAAAATTGATGAGTTATTGTACAGAGTGTCATAATGGTCAAGAGAGTAGTACTTAGGTTGTTATTCAAGGATGTAGAATTAAAAAGCATTGCTTCTGTTTAAGGGTACTTGTTTCTAGATTTGTTTATATGGTACAGAAATGTTTGTAGCCATGTTCAGGTGACCTAGGTTCAACATGTGTTTTACACTCTTCACTGATACAATAGACATAATAGGGCACCTCTGAATCATGGTGGAGAGGGATCTGTGTGAGGTGCTGATCCAAACAGAAAGAATGTCCAGGAATTTAGGCTATCTGAGTGTGGTGCTTGCTTGCTCTAGCATTTTCATTACTTGAACTCTTCAGACTCAAGCAGAATTAATCCTGAATTAAACTGTGATTCCAACACCCTCTGCATAGACGTAGTTCAAATCAGTATGAGAAAATTTGATTTTTTTTTAATATCATGAGATATATTTGTATTTTATTAACAGACTGAGATTATCAGAAAGGTAAACTGAATATCTTTTTCTATACATTTTGGTTATATTTGCATAGCATCAACTCTACTGAAGCCAAACAAAAACAGATTTTCCAGACGTTGATTGATGCTGTGTGATCAGACATAGCATGTCTCTGTTTGTTCTAAATGAACCACTTGCACCTACAGAAATAATTATATGAATATAATTTACATGTAAATGTAGTTTCTTCTGAAGCATCGGAATGGCAAATTAGGCCCTGCAGACTACTATTTGCAACTAAATTATTAATGCTTCTGATAAAACTTCAGATCAATTTTTGTTGACCTTTCCATGTTGTAACACCACAAATTAAGTCTTCCTGAACAAAATCTATTTAGTTGAGTTAGATTTTTATTTTCATTACCTTGACTGGTAGTAAGAGATCAGCATAAAACTGTGTTAACTTAGACTGTGCAAAGTTTTGAGTTAGTTAGAAAATGGATTTATACAGAATTATTTCTGTGGCTGTATTTGTTACAAAGAAATAACTACTGGATTAATGTAAGAAAATACCAAGCACTCTAACACTTCTATTTTAGTTATAAATTAGTAAACAAAACATTATTTACTACTTTGGCTTCCCAAAAAAATGCATTTTGTTTTTCAATGCTCTTCCTTTTTATTCTTAGAAGTCTCAACTTCTTCATTTTGTAATGAAATTAACTGATACATTGTTCTAGAGGTATTTACAAATTTTTAAAAAAATACCTCTGTTAGGTGAAAGGTAGAACAGAGAGGACAATTACTGCTTATGAGGGTGCGCCAAGTGCTGACTTCTCTTAATCTCTGTAATGCAGAAAGATTATAAGGGTTCAGTGCAATCCAGGGTGCCTAAGAGTTGGCAGACAAGGAGCTTTCTCTTTACATGTTTAATTGTGAGAAACGAGAAAAAAAATTCTTAGTTGGAGCACATGTATGGGTTTTTCTGTTTGCAGGTGCTTTTTATTGTAACTCAGATTTTATGTGTAGTAGAGTCCACTTGGAGAGAGAAGGGTCTTTGGAATGCATCTGATTCTGGGTAGTAGTGGGCCAAAGACAAAACTTCATGTTCAGTATAATTAAGACTCATATTTTAAAAGTTATTTACAGTGCTGACAGAGCCAAAGTTAGAAGTGTAATCAGAGTTTGTGTTTTATTCTGTGCTTGTCTTGTGTGATAGCTCTAAAATACCTTGATCTTTTATTGGGAAAAAAAAAAACCCAAACCAAAACTGTCAGTCTCCTCAAAATCTGGTTATAATTTGATTTTTTCCATGTTCTGTGTTGTAGCTCAAAACCTTCCCAAATCCATTTGGTAACCTTTGACCATTTTTTGCATTGCACAACTGGGCCTTTCTGAAACAATAATTACATAAATAAAAAAATCTATCATGTAGTTCTTTTGTATTATGCTACTTGATCCTGCTTGCATACTCCTGCAAGATCTGAAAGGATTAGTACTAGTGAGCATTTTTATGTGCCCTTTAAAATCTGTCTCTACTTACCCAAACTGAAGGAACTATTAATATAAACATGTTGCATTATTCTAAGAACATATTTTTCTGGTTAATAAATAAAAATTTTGGGGTTTGTTTGGGTTTTTGTCTATTTTTTCTCTAGCCCTGCCAACATGGAAAGACTCAGGTCAGCTTGAATTTAAGATATTGTAATGTCATTAATCCATTAATTTTTTAGTCCTGGTCTACTCCGGTGAGGAACCAGTTAAGCCCACTACATACATTTTCCTTGTTTGACGATTACTTTTTCACTCCATAAGATTTGAAGCTTGTAGTCACATTCCATGGATATTGGGCTTGCAGTGGGATAAAACACTTGCTGAAGAACCAAGGCTTTTTGAGTTCTCAAAAATCTGATTTATTTAGGCAGGTTGTTTTTAAGAATATAACAAAATCTTTTAAGTGAGTGGGGTTTTTTTTATTAAAGGTTACCACTCGAGGAGAGGCTCACTTAGAACTAAATGCCTTTAGGAGGAAGCATGACTGTGCCTTGGTGATATCTGGGGACTCACTTGAGGTACGAACTTGGTTTCTGTCAAATTACATTTATCTGTATGCTTATATTCAAAAAGTACAGTATCAGTGTCTTCATGCTCTTAAACTGTTTTCCAATTGTTGCCCATACTTTAAGTTGTTGTTAAAGATACTTCTGTTTTTCACTGAGTGCTAATTAGAGGATACATGTTCTAGATGGACAAATGGTTTTGGTTCTCTGGTCTCCTGTATGGTAACAGAATGGAATTTATATGCAATATGCTTTAGTATTGTCTCTTCTCTTAACCCCAAAGCGTGTTGGTTCTCTTAACGAAAGAGAATATCAGTTTAAAATAATAAATCTACAGTCAGGAGAATGTGGCTTTTTCCTCACAGATGGATGTTGTGCAAGCAAAAGAATAAAAGAATCTTTTATACTGTGTTTTTGTTTTGAACTACTTGTAGAGTATTTAATCGTAAGTAAATGTGAGTATGTTTTTTCCCTTAGGTTTGTCTGAAGTATTATGAGCATGAATTTGTAGAGTTGGCTTGTCAGTGTCCTGCCGTAGTGTGCTGCCGATGTTCTCCCACCCAAAAAGCTCATATTGTGAAACTGTTACAGCACCACACTGGAAAACGCACATGTGCAATAGGTAACTGTTGGCATGACCTTCATTTGCAGTAGCTAAAATCTGTAATAAACTTAAGCAGTAGATGGCACCATTGAGAAGTAGCTGAAACAAAACCAGAGACTTCTTTCAACAGCCAGGTATTACGCAGCTGTAGCAGAAAATGCCATTCCATGAGAAAGGTGTGGTTGTCATCTTTATTCCACAGGAAGAAGTCTTGATTGCTGAATAATAATCCATAGATTAATTGTACAAATTAAAAGGTATATAAGAGGTTTCTAAAATACTGTAAGGCCAGGAGAGTAAAACTAAAACCTCTGAAGAGCTGAATATTGCAGTGACATTTTCCAGGTGACGGAGGAAATGATGTCAGCATGATCCAAGCAGCAGACTGTGGAATTGGAATTGAAGGCAAGGTAATGTTAAAAGTTTCATTGTCAAATATGTGCCACATAGTAGTATAGTAACATGGGATTAGAAGCTTTATTCTTAAACAGTAGTGAATTGATCATTTCTAATTAAAGTATGCTGTGAGATGATAAAAATGCTTAAGTCTTTGAACTAGTATTTTCTTTGCTTCTATGTGCTCTGCTTTATCTTTTTAAATACAAAAAAGCAAGAAAAGCAGAAAACACTATAGTTATTTCTGTGTAGCATTTACCTGGAAAAAGCAGGCTAGGTGACTAAACTTACTTGTTACAGCCACTGCATCTTAGAATATGCACAAAAAAATTGTCCTTTGTGTCTCGTTGCAGGGTTGATTTCTGAAGCAGGAGCAAACTTGACTTTTAAAATTAATTATCACTTAGAATTTTGAAATTTCAAACACATCTTTTACTCTGAGTTTTTAATATTTGGAATATTTTTGTTTTGTTCTAGGAGGGAAAACAAGCTTCCCTAGCAGCTGACTTTTCTATCACACAGTTTAAACACATAGGTAGGCTGCTGATGGTACATGGTCGAAACAGTTACAAAAGATCAGCAGCACTTGGTCAATTTGTCATGCACCGAGGCCTTATTATTTCAACTATGCAGGTATTTAAAACTTTCTTTTTTCCCTGAATAGTTAAAAGCACCATGTCTATCTTTGCAATATCACAAAATCTTAATCAACTAGTGTTGTTATTTTTTCTTTATTGTAATGTTTTGTATGCGGAATTATATTAAATATATAATTGTCTGCTTTTTGTAGGCTGTATTTTCATCAGTCTTCTATTTTGCATCTGTTCCCTTGTACCAAGGATTCCTAATGGTAGGGTAAGTCAAAACCAGCAGTTACGATATCTGGTAATAAATATAGCAAACTAACTTGTTAAATAACATCACGTAGTTGGTGTCTGCCATGTTTTTCGTATGTTTTGTGATTGATACGCTACCAAAACCTGCAGTGAGTCTACAAAGAAAAGTCAAACTACAAAGAAAAGTGAATATGCACTATATGAGGGTTAGAGCCTCATGATCACTTCTCTGAAGAGAGGGATCTGCATAGCCTTAGAAGAAGATGCCATGTAACCTTTTTCACATACAGGGTGAACACAATAGAGGAAATCTCTAAGACCAGTTTCAGTGGTTACACAGATTGCCATACAAGCCTCAGTGAGAATCACAGATTTTTCTGTGAAAAATGGAGCTGAAGCTACTGACTTTTATGAAATTTCCTCTGAGTGCACTACCTAAGTCTACTACATAGATTTCCGTTCAGGTGAATGTATGCAGGACTGTGAGCACCCTGTTCTTGTTGCAGAAGCTGCTTTAGTAATACGGTTCCCCAAGTCATACAGCTGAGGGATACACATATATTTGTGTTTCTCTCTACTCTCTGCCCCTTCTCTCGTAAGACCTTCTTTTTATACTTCTTTTTATATGTAAACAGCAGCTTAAATCAATTGTAACTTAAACAGATTTGATTTGATTTGACTATGATTTACACCAGACTCTGCAGAGGCAAGCAGTAGACCTCTCCAAAATGTTTGGAAGTACTTGTGCTAAGTTCTAGGAAAGTACATACTAAAGTATACATCTGGTGTGTGCATACTAAAATCCAGAGCCACTTACAGAGCTGTTACGACTTTTGTTCATCCACCTACCCATACCATGATGTCCAGAATATAGTGCTTGGTTTTTCTTCAGTTTTCATACCATCATCTGTGGATGAATTTAAATGTCAGGTCTTCGAACTGGTTGTCCAAAGTGCAAGTGCACAAGGAGTATGGTAACAGGCAATAAGTTTGGGTGGTATGTATAGAAGAAAGAAATGTATTTACTGTTTTTGAACATATAAAAGCTGTGTAACTTCTCATGACTGGCAGCTCTCAGAAGCACAAGAGCAAGTTGCGTATGTAAAGCTGTATTGGTAAGCTGCCTCAGTACTGGATAGAAGAGCCAGTTTAATTCCACTTACATAAAAAGAATACTTGAACTCAATAGGTCAGTTTAAAATCATATCATATGAAAGTGTCAATTTATGTGCTTTCCTTTCACCTAGGTATGCAACCATATATACTATGTTTCCAGTCTTCTCTCTAGTATTGGACCAGGATGTGAAGCCAGAAATGGCATTGCTATATCCAGAACTTTATAAGGATCTCACAAAGGTATGAATGTCCTCAGTGCTTGGATATGAACAAATACTGAAATCTCCAGTGTGTGCAAAACTGGGAGTTCTTACAATCATTTTCTTAAGGTATTGCATGCAAGACAAGTGCACAACTTTTGTACTATTGTGGTGGGTTGACCCTG